GTTGCATTTAAGGATCTCAAGTACACGAACAAGTGATCCTGGATGTTTCAGGTATAAGCTTAGCCGTGGGCCCACAACACAATTTCGTTTAAAATCGTCCCTAGAGTTATAATTAAGAAGAAGTTCGTTTCAACTTAACCACCCAACGAATCAAGATTGACGCCTAGAAACTACATATCATGATTCCCTAGATACAAATGAAGTGCATGCAAGAACCATGTGATATAGTTCACGTACAGTACGATCCCTTCGATACATATATCCCGACTAAACTAGAGGCGTTCGTTCATCGAGAGCTCTTATAAGTTCAATAATTGTGTGGACGTTCTTGATTATATAATACGTTCGTGTTTGACTTAGAGAAACACATTTCTCTAATCACAACACTTTCAGCTGTGGCCACAGACTTCATGGATTATAAATCCCAAGAACACACACGATATCCATGACTGATCAAGCGATCAAATCCCCTACTACAATGCACAGACCTCCTATTAGATTTCAAACTGCACGAACACTGGCCCTTGGGGCGGTCCTCGGTGGAACTCAGGGATAGGTCAAGATACAGCTGGTTCTCTAGTGAAGTCACGGTGATGTCTAGGTCTTAAGGATTAATGGTGTACAACTATATCATAGAAACCTCTACTAGATTATTGGGAACCACTTAGAGATCTCTAGATTGAGGGAGTTCAGTGAACTCATCAACTTCTGAGCCGCGGTACACATACACTAAGTGCTAGTCTCGAATGGGAAAGGCCAATATTTTCATTAGTAGCGTATCCCGTTGATTAGGAACTACGTTTAACAGTTACTATACTTCAAAAATATTCTCACGATTCTACTAGACATATTTACTGTAAATAAGTAACTGTAAGGACTACATCTATGCTTATGCAAGGGACAAAGATATAGAATGCCAAAGGGGGATTTTATCATTAATATGAAATAGATTATTTACGAGTAGCGTGAAAAAGCACAACAATTAGCTGGCTTTTCGGTCACCTACTCTAACACCTTTCACCGTGGAAACTCCCTTCCAAACGAACCTGGAAATAGATATGCCCGACCTGAAGAGACAAAAAGTCGTCGCATGGGCGTTGATGACCGTAACTCAAGAAGCCCTCAACGAGAAGCTTCGAAGTCAACAGCCACTCGCTTTGAAGCATTCCCCACCCGAATTAGCCCATCCATTCCGGCCATTATGGAAGAAGTGTTGCCTCTCGGATTTAGGATCCCCAATCTCTCCCAATTCGACGGAACGGGGGATCCCCAAGATCACTTAAATAATTTTTACGCCAAGATTGACCTCTACGGTCTTAGTAACGCAGCTTGCTGCAAGATTTTTCAGACCACGCTAACTGATGAGGCACAAATTTGGTTCAACGGCTTGACCGGAGGGTCTATCAACAATCTGGACCAACTAGCGACGCATTTCCTTAACCAATACTCTATCAATAAGAAATACGCCATAACTGGATCGTATCTCTTCAAGGTCATACAGTGGAAGGGAGAGTCGCTCAGAGATTACCTGCAACGATTTGTCAAAGCAGTACATGAAGTGCCCCACCTTAATCACGAAATGTTAGCCGGCATACTACAACACAATTTGAAGCATGTTCGTTTTCAAGAGTCCATCGCAGGCCGACCTCCTATGACTCTAGAGTAGCCGTGTTGTGAAATACGTTCAGATTGGGGAGACTATGGAGATGACGGTACCCCTTAAGCGAAAGCGTGACGAGGGAAGCCATGATTATAATAGAGAAGAAGAGTGGCGTATCGCCAAAAATCGGACCTTCTAGACGTTCTCACCTCTCAAGAATAAGCTTGTTGACATGATGATCATCGCAGAACATAAAGGGATTTTACAACCACCGAGAAGGATGAAGAAGAATTCAGAACGACAAAATTCGGATGATTACTTTGAATACAGAGATTGGGGTCACACTACTGATGAGTGTTTTCAAGAGTCCATCGCAGGCCGACCTCCTATGACTCTAGGGTAGCCGTGTTGTGAAATACGTTCAGATTGGGGAGACTGTGGAGATGACGGTACCCCTTAAGTGAAAGCGTGACGAGGGAAGCCATGATTATAATAGAGATGAAGAGTGGCGTATCGCCAAAAATCGGACCTTCTAGACGTTCTCACCTCTCAAGGATAAGCTTGTTGACATGATGATCATCGCAGAACAGAAAGGGATTTTACAACCACCGAGAAGGATGAAGAAGAATTCAGAACGACAAAATTCGGATGATTACTTTGAATACAGAGATTGGGGTCACACTACTGAGGAGTGTTTTTAGCTTAAATGAGCACTCGGAAGACTTATCAAAAACGAGCACTTGAGAGAATCCCTAGAACAATCGCAATCTTGAAGAAATACTTCACTTAGTATCGATTATTGCCCCCTCGGGCCCCTTGTAATTTCTTTTGAGTAATATGTTGGTGGCATATCGCCCTGCACAATATTTTCAACTATGTAATAAGTCGGGGCATACCGCCAGCCGCATGATTCTTATTAAACTATTTTAGTCGGTGGGATACCGCCGCCGCGATTTCTACATCAACCATTTTTCTTCTCTTTGCGTTTTCGTTCAAGGCATCTACAATCGATTTAGCAAAATAAACTCAAAAAATAGCTAAAGGAAAAGATACCAAGGATCACAAAGGGTCTGGCCAAGTCGAACCTTAGTTTCTCGCTCCCCAAAGCTTCAAAAAATAGAGCAACTAAAGCTCAGGGGAGTCTTACCCGACACAAAAACATAGGTAAATGGGTAGACTTCCTGCATAAAAAACTTGAGGGTCTGATCAAGCACCAAGTATAAAATACGGAATTCCCACTAGGCAATAAAGCCACGGGATACCGTCTCACCTAAAAAGATAAAGCATAGCTCATTCTTTGCGAGAGTCGGACTTCTCACTAAGCGATAAAGCCAAGATATACCGTCTCGCCACCAAAAACTAAAATATAAATAAATAGGGACTTCCCACTAGGCACTAAAGACACGTGATACCGTCTCACATAAAAAGATAAAGCATAGCTCGATCTTTGCGAGAGTCGGACTTCCCACGAGAAGATAAAATCAAGGGATACCGTCTTGCCAAAAAAAACAAAAAAATAATAAATAAAAATAAATCTTTACTAAAGAAACCAAAATCTTGATAAATTGTGGCCGCCAAAAAATAAGACGTATCAGAAGCCACCTCGGATATCCGCCTTAATTCGGTAGCCGAAAAATCATTTTCGTGACGAAAAATCGGGTCTCCATGAACTTGCACGTGTTGAAACAGTGGCAGACGCCTCTCATGCGCCGCCATGCGCGCGACGTGCAAGCCTCACGCCCGACAGGCGCCCTAACACGCGCCACAATGCACGGGAGTGCCATGCACGCGCCTCACGCGCGCGGCAACAGTTCCCCCACCCGCGTAACGTCATCAATGATGTCATTCCCCAACAGTTGCCCGAGTCATCTGTCTCATCGAGTCAACTCGTTTGGCCCTCTAATTTGCCTGAGTTGACTTGGTCTCCAGCTGTCTTCCCTCAATCCCCGTGCCCGTATGACGTCACGCTAACGTCACCCTTCTGCCATCGTTCCCTGCGCCCGATTCCACCTCACCCACACGAGTCGACCCGGTGGAACGAGTCCACTCGTTCAGCGAGCCAGCAACACGCGTGACGTCAGCCGCATTGTGCTGACATCACGCTGACTCCAGCTGCCGTCGGTAACTGGGTCACGCCATCTGGAATCTCCACTTGCTCGATTTTTGAGCCAGGGCACATTTTTGTGCATAACTTTTCGCCAACAACTCCGAATTTCACATAATTTGTGTCCACAGATTCAAAATTTTCCACACTACTCTGCTACGACATTAATTCAACAATTCAATGATTTTTTTTTGCTTGTCTCACCCAACAAATATCACGGGGGCCTGTAAAAATTTTAACAAAAATTATAAGTACTTCAACTAGAGAAACCCGAGAGCCAAATTTTGTCGGGGGGCTCGCGGCTCAGGCCCTCGCAATGTCACAACTTCCTCCAATAATTTTGGCGTCTGACCGTCACCGTACCACAACCGGGCCTCCCTTCAACAAATATCATCACCTAACTTCCGCGCTTGCTTCTGCAAGATCCCTACAGCCGACTTAAAAATTTCCTGCTACCTTAAAATTCAAAGAAAACAGGAAAATTATTTCGTCTTCGAGCGACTATTCCTAGATTACTCCCAGGCATACCCACGGGCCCGTGGCTCAACCTGGGAGAGGGGGGCTTAATGATGTGCTTAGTTGGGCTTTAACCCAAAAATCGCAAGAGGCTCATCAAAAGGGAAGTCCATGAGTAACCCACAGAACGTGATCACAAAGAGATGGGTCTTGAAACCCCGGTTTATCGAGCTCATCATCAAGCAAATTTAATACTTTATGTGTGATTTTGCATATCAAACCCTGAATACCGGATACGATGATTTATGCAACCGGATTAAACTGCATTTTGAAAACTCACCCTCATCTTGGTACGTTGATACTCGACCCCGGAGTCGAGCTGATATTGAATGGTGTTCACAGCGCCGGTAGAAGCACTAATCCAGCCCTTCGACGATTTATGAGCACTTTCCACCCTGTTAATAGCCATTAAAATAACAACTAATAATTAAAAACGCCCACAATATAATATAAAATACAAGACGATAATGAAACCGAAAATACCTATTAGTCGACGTGTTCCCAAAATGCAAAATCTTATTAGTCCATGCTTTGACGAATTTGTGCTTGTATATTAGCCAAGTATCGTTAAGGTATGATATCAATTTGGGGTAACAACCATAGCGTCTAACCATTTCCTCGTAATTTTCATAGTAATCTTCTTCTGTTTTTTATTCCACTACTGTTGCCCAATGTATGCGCCGGAATATAAGCCCGTGTTTAGTACTACCAATAAATCTCGATGCATTTTTTTCCACGTTTCTATTGATGTGAAACAAACACAAGAAATGTGCGGAATCTGGAAATATTTGGGGCATTGCTTTAATGAGTCCCAATTCACGATCCGTCAATATCACATCAGGTACCAGCCCCCCCAATGCACATTTCAAACAACTCAAAGCCCATTCATATGTGTCTGCGTCTTCATGTGACATGAAAGGAACAACAATTGTAAAATTGTAACCAACAGGGGTGATTCCAACTATTTCCAGAAGTGACATCTCATACCTAAGTAAATACATAAATATCAAATGCAATCAATGTACAATAACACAATACTAAATACTAATTAACAACATACCTATTGGTTTTGTAAATGCAGTCCATCAATATAACGTGACAGAATAACCGCAAAAGTTTCATTGAAATAGGAGCAGCGAACATCAAATCAGTAGGTGTATCATCAGCTTCATTACTTCGATACCAATATTCATATCCAGATTCTTGAAGGTTCGACATCACGTGTTGTATCACAGTCTTCCCCACCATATTCTCTTTTTTCATCTTCTCAAGTTGGTTGTAGATATGTTTCACACTCGTTGATGTCTGTGGATTATCCTTCCTCAGTCGATCCATGATTAATGCCGGCTTCACGTGGCTTCTTCTAAGTAACTTCACTACCTCGTATTCTTCTGGTGTCAAACGACTATCCGGTCCTTGTCCGGTAAGATACGGTAGCGTCGGATGAGTGTGGATGCCATTTTTTAAATTTGTTCGCCATAGTCCATCGTTTCGATTTTTGCTACAGTATATACGAAACGGACATCCACATTTCTTTGTTCCCACATTCCCTTGCTTCACACCTTCGGTTCGTTTTTCACGTCCCATAAACGTTTTCCTGCCTTGAAGTTACTATCAATCGATGACCATGAGTAGCAGCCATTTTTTTTGCATGCCACTAATTCTTTCCCAGTTTCAAACTCAACACCCACATTGAAATATTGACTATGATCTTCAGAAGTTGTTGGTGTGTCTTGAGGAACATCAAAACACATGTTGGGATCCTCGTACTCGTTGTCATATTCAGTTCCAAACTCATCGTCAAAATCACCTTCACTAGCCTATTAAGGTATAACAAATAATAATTAGTATATAAATAACAATATAAATTTTAAAAAAAAAATTAGGGTTCCCGTGCCCTAGGGGACGATAGTTCATGGTTCCCGTCCTCTAGGGCACGGGAACCACAAGACTCCGTCCTCCAAGGCACGGGAACATGGTGTTCCCGTGCTCCTCAGCACGAACCTTAGTTTTTTTTTTTTTTTTTTTTTTTTTCCCGTGTTGTGCAGCACGGGAACCCCAAATTTTTGGGGTTCTCGTGCTACACAACATGATATTGCCGCGAAAAATTTGAACTTTCACTAATTTCTTCGATTTTACCTCGTACAAGTCATCAGAATCGGCCATAATGTTATTTGTTGTCGTCGGGCAGTCGATTTATCAAACAAAGTCGAAAATCTTAATTCTCGACTTTTTTTAGTTGAGAGCGTTTTGAGTTTTTGAGAAAGTTGAAAAAGTTGAAATGGAAAGTACCGCTGCAAATAAACCAATTTCAGTAAAAGTCCCGCTACAATTAGCAATTCAGTTTAGAAAAATATCAATATATGTTAGAAGAACTAAAATGTGAAAATTTAATTTATTTATTTACATCTTTACAAGAAAAAAAATTATTTAAAAATATAATATAGTGGCCCGATCCATTTTCAATTTAGAATAGGCCTCATTAAATCATAGGGTCAGTTTCAGTGGCGAAGCCATGATTTCATCATCGGGGGCGAATATACATTAAAAAATATAAATAAATAAAACGTAAATAAAAACTTAGGATTTTTTTTTTTTTTTTTTTGCTTTAATTGAATTTTGTGTGAACTAATTAAATAGTAAAAAAATAAATTGATTGAACTTAATAAATATATAGGTGTAATATAGTGGATTTTTTTTTTCAATTCAGGGTGGGCCTGAGTCCACCCTGTTTAAGGCGCTAGTTCCAAGTACCAATTCGTAATTTTCTTATCCTACTCGTTAAACTCGTTTATTATTTTTCTTCAATTAAAAATACTTAATTCTTTTTTTATATAAAAGTAAATTATTAAAAATTACAATACTTGGTTCTTGCTTCTCCACTGATCTGAGTCTGATGAATGTCGTCTTGTTCGAACTTGGTTCTTACTGTTCATGTGAATTATAATCTATAGCCACAATTATTTGATATTGAAACAAATGAAAATGATAATCGAAAGGTACTTGAGGGTTGGCTGTTGGATTCTATTAGCAAAACGGTCAATTATGTGTTCTGCAAACATAATTAAATGGATCATGTAATTCATGCATCAACACCAAATTTTATAAATCGTCAAAAATCAAGATGCACTTCTGGTTCCAAAAAGTTCCCAAAAATTGAAAAAAAAAGGGTAAATTTCACTTTCTCGCCTTGTATTTTGGTTCGGTATCACTTTATCCCCTCACACTCTCGATTGCAGCGATTTGCACCCTGCACTTGAAAAATTGTCTCAATGTGGCCTTTGTCGTTAGTTTTCAGACTTTGGATTTTAACACTGTTTGATCGATCTGAAAACTTACAAAAAAATCACCTCTCATAGTTTAATAATTATTAAAAAAATAATAATAATTGTGGCTGACATCGTGGATTATGTTTTCTTGTTGTCTTGAATTTCTTATTACTATTATTTTTTTTAATAATTATTTAAACTGTGAGAGGTTGCGTTTTGGTAATTTCAGAGCTTAGATCAAACGATGTTAAAGTCAAATATCTGACAACTAACAACGAGGGCCACACTGAAATAATTTTTCAATTGCAGGGGGCAAATCGATGCAATCGAAAATAAGAGGGGGTAAAGTGATACCGAGCCAAAGTACAAGGGAAAAAGTGGAATTTACCCAAAAATATATGTTGTTTTTACCAAAAACAATACAAAAAATATGTTTAACTCTCAATTCATTACAAAAATGTACAATATGGGTATGTAAATTTCTTGATTGTATATATAATGTAAAAAAAAACATTGCATATGAAAAAAATGAATAAAACTATTTTATAAGATAATAAATAATATATGGGGTTTTTGTGTATACGTTCCCAACCAAGCATCTTTATTATTCTAAGTTTAGGGGCTATATCTCTTTCACCAATAAGTCCATCCCTTTAATATTTATTAAAAATAAAGGAAACATTTATGTATATGACAATATTACCCCCAACCCTTTTATACTAAATTCTTAATTGTAACCCCAATTTAATCAATTTTGTCCACAAAAATCCAATTTTGTCTTTTTTTTTTCAAAAAAAAAATTTTGCCGCCGGATTCCGGCGTTAACTTTTCGATTTTTTTTTCTGGTCTGTTTTTTTCCGCCGCCGAATTCTGGCGTTGACTTTTTTTTTTGTTTTTTTTTTTTACGTCCGCCGCTAAACGTTGATCGTAATTGTACTGTCACTGATAGTAAATTAACGTAATTATACTGTCAATGAATGTTAATTAACGTAATTGTACTGCAGTTGACAATACATTTATGTAATTGTTCTGCCGTTGACAGTAAATTAACGTAATATTATTATTTTTTATTATTTTTTTTATTTTGTTTGATTTGTTGACAAGTCAACGTAATTATATTACTGTCGTTGACAGTAAATAACTGTAAACACAATAATATTACTGTCAACAACATCAATATTATTATTTTTTTGGGTTTTTTGTTTTGTTTGAGTTCTTCACGGAGTAACGTAATAATATTACTGTCTATTATTGTAATATTACCGTAAACACAATAATATTACTGTGGTTGACGGTAATATTACTGTTGTTATAGTAATATTGTTGTCAACCACATAAATATTATTATTTTGTTTGGATTTTTTTTGTTTGTTTGAGTTATTCACGGAGTAACGTAATAATATTACTGTCTATTATTGTAATATTACTATGGTTGACGGTAATATTATTGTTGTTATAGTAATATTACTGTGATTCACAGTAATATTAATTCTTTTGGCTTTTTATTATGTTTACATTTGTTGAACGATCAACATAGTAATATTACTTTATTACACAATAATAATGAGTTTCGTTGTGTTAATATTACTGTGTTAGAGATTAATATAGCAATATTACTGTGTTAAACTGTAGTTTAGTTAATTTTATTGTGTTTAACAGTAATATAGTTAATATTACTGTCAATCACAACAATATTGTTGTTTAAACGAGAAAAAAAATGTTACAGAAAAAAAATTGAAAAGTCAACGCCGGAAACCGGCGAAAAAATCCAGAAGATTTTTTTTTTTTGAAAAGTCAACGCGGGAATCCGGCGGCAAAAAAGTTTTTTTGAAAAAAAAAAGGTTTTGTGTCAAAATTGAATAATTTGTGAAATTTAGGGTCAAATTGAGGTTAAATGAAGTTAATGATGAAATTGGAGTATATTAAAGTGTGAGGGGCTATTTTAGTCTTTTACCAAAATCTGGACCATATGTGGACTTATTTGTAAATAAGTTTTTTATCTGGATCTATTTATGAATAAGTACCCATTATGGGCTTATTTGTAATCACCCCATAATATATTATAAACCATTTTCCCCCCCAATTAAATGACATGAAGTTGTCAAAAAGGTTGTTAAAAGTTGTCAACGATGATCATTTTATTCTGGGAGTCCTCTAGTCAACATGATATATTCTCTATAATGCAAAACCGTGGAAATATACATAGCCTAAATAATTAGTCACCAAGTTCTAGAATTCTTTTGATATATTACAAATTTTACAAAACCATGACTTTAATTTAATTAAAAGTGTTGGCATTCAGACTTATTACATTTATTTATTTATTAATTTGTTTATGGGAAAATATGGAATACTTCCTCAAATGAAAAATATTTTGAACTAAACTCAATTGACTTTTAGAGACTTTTGTATACACCCAAGTTTCATTCTTCATTAGTGAAACTCCCCTGACCAGACATGATAAGACTAAAGTGCTTTTATATGCTTAGGTTTCTAACGTGATACAATTTTATTTCTCTTTCACTTCCTCTTTCTCTCTCTCGTTCTCAATTTCACGTCTTCTTCTTCTTCTTCTTCTTCTTTTTTTTTTTTTTTTTTTTTTTCCTTCTTTGTGCAGATCTGTATACCTGCCGGCGCACTCCTTCATCTTTTTCACACCACCGCCGTAGTCCGCTCACCATAGCCACCGTTGTTGTGCACTCGTCACCGCCGGAGCCAACAATACCTTTCAACCGCCGGTCTGCCGAAACCTAATGCAGGAGGCCCTCCTATGTACAAGTGGTGGCGGCGGTGCCTCCCCCACCTCGTCGCCGCCCTTCGTCGGATGTGTTACATGGAGATTTTCCTTTTTTGTTCTCTCTCGATTTTTCAATTTTTTTATTCCAGATTTGTTCACCACCGCCACCGTAGCCACGTCCCCACTCTCTTTTTCATTCACCGTCGTTGTCGTCACCTCCCCTCCCTCCCTTTCGTTATTTCGATTTTTTTCTTTTTTTTTTTTCTCTCCAGATCTGAAACAGCAGCATCAACGTGACTACGTTGGTTCGAATATGACTATTGTTGATT